TCTAGGAGAGGGTTTTCCAGAATCTGCAGTTTTATTGCCTTAATTTTTCAGAAGAAACAAGCGTGGCTTTAAAAACAGCACATTTGATGCCTGTGTCTCAGTGACTGCTAGTTTCAGTTACGGTTTTCCAGGATCTAAAGACTGAAGCCGATTCCCAGACTCAGGTGTTTTATTTTAACTGCATTGACTTTGTGAAGACACCTGGGCTGCAGCCTCCCCGAGAGCTGACGTGTGGTTCCGGGCACCCAGCGCCAGCTGCGGCCGAGCAGGGCCAGGGCTGTCAGCTTGGCCCAGAGCTGGCTGGCGGGGCCCCGGACTCACACGTCCCGGACGGCCAGCTCCTCACTCGTGGTGCGGAGCCCAGGGCTCAGTCCCGGCAGGGGCCATCTGCTCGCACCCAGGAGCCTCGCGTCGGGGCCCACTCTGCCTGCCCACCACCCAGAGCGGCCACGCCTGTTTCCCTTTCAGGTTGACAGCGAAAGCTGTGGCCGTGCTGCTGCCCATCCTGGGAACCTCGTGGGTCTTCGGCGTCCTTGCTGTCAACAGCCAGGCCGTGGTCTTCCAGTACATGTTTGCCATACTCAACTCCCTGCAGGTGAGGCCCGATGGACCGTCAGATGGGCGAGCTGGCTTCAGCTTTGTGCGTGGACGTGGGGGCACCCCGGAGGCCGGCAGACAAAGCCATCGAGGGAGCACACACCAGGGTCTGAGCAGACGAGGTGTGCAGGGTCATGACCCCATTCACAGCAGGGCCGCCTCGTCCTCCTGGCCAGTATCTGTGGGAGGCCCCTCCAGGCCTGAAAGAAGATGGTCAGCCTGTGGGCAGCGCCTGAACGAGAGCCGGGCGTGGAGAGGTGGTGATAGTGGGGGTGGGTGATGGAGAGCTGGTGGTGGTGCCTCGGGTTCTGAGTTCCCATCTGCCCCCTGCGTGGAAGGGCTGGAAGGGTGACAGCCTAGAAACCAAAGATGTGAGATGCCCAGCATCTGAGCCCCCAGACCCACAAGCCCGCACAGCCGAGCCGAAGGCTGAAGCCTGGCGA